AAGTCTTTGGCTTGACTTTTGGTTGTTTTCACCCCCGATAAGTCTTTTAATTTGGTCCATTATACAATTGCTCTTTTTTTTGGCAGCTTGAAATTTTACAGGGTCCTATCGGTCGCCCTCAATGTATAATATATTAGCGTCTTCAATACACGTTTCTTTTGAAGTCTATGATCTTACTTGAGATGATGCTTTGAGTTTGGCTATTTGATTTGGTAGCTACCTTCTTACTTATTAAGCCCAATATTGCATCCTTTTCGGTTCTTCTTGCTTAGCATCATGGTGGTAACGTATGATTTATCTTCTCCTTGTATAAAGAGAAATCGGGGTGATAGGTTAATAATATTTCCAGTACAGCTTTGGCGTACTCCATGACGCTTGATTATCAGTATTTAATTCGATTCATTCGCCAGTTACTCTTCTTTCATGGTAGTTCGTATCAGTGGCATAGGAATTTAATGAGTATCTCAGAAAGGACAAAAAGAAAATGAAGGAACAATAGAATTCACTCATTGGACACAGGCAATCCAAGAATAACCAATTTCGGAAGAAAAGAAATTACAGAATGTGTCAAGTGAAGCAGGAACAAACTGCGAATCCTAATGGGATTCTTAACAGGACACTGCAAGCTCTTAAAGAAGACTGAAATAATCCAAGACTGCACATGCAGATTCTGCAAAGAGGCAGGGGAGTCACCAACACATCTACTCACAATCTGCAGAGCTACACTTGCCCGCAGGAGGAAGTGTTTTGGGATGTATAATGTGACCATAGAAGAGCTTCAACCATGTGCTTTAGGCTGAGAACGGAAGATACAATAGCTCTTAAAGGGCGCAGTATACTACACCCCGAATATTACATCTACATGGTAGTTCGTAATTTTACAGAAGGACTGACCAGATCGGTGGCGCCGAGGAACACTCCATGTATTATTTGTCCTCTTCATTAGGCTCCTTCCTGTGTGCCTTTCGACAGTTTTTCTCTGCAAGCCGAAATTACGAACAATATTTTTGTTTTTGTTCACTAACAGAATCTAACTCGTTGGAAACGGCAATAAAAAATGTTACAAATTTTTGAAACGCCACTACACAAAGTGGTTTTCGTAATTCTGAGAGCAATTGTCGAAAGGACGTGGAGGCAGGCAGCATGTGACGATTATTACAATACTGTAACTTCTGTCATCGACCTTGTCGAGAGCCGACGTCGTCCCGAAATAGAAATTCGACCATGTCCTTTGCCTTTTAAATGAAATTGAACAATTCGATGGAGAGACATTGTTGCAGGCTTTATAAATCATAATGTAATATGTACATGTAAACATGTTCCTTTATTTTTTGTTCATATATGTTTAGAATAATTTAGTAAAGACTTTGAAGATGGATCGATCGATGTTGTTTTACGTAAAGATATTTTCATTTGTGATCCATAAAGAAAATTTAAGCAGATAATACAATATCGTACGGTTGGGTTTTTATCACCGGAAATGATTTATAGTCTCGTAAAAAGTCTATAAATTTTAAGTACGAGATTGTATAGTCCACAACAAATTCACCTGTGATCTAGGCCGAGCCCGTTCATTTCCTTGAAATATATTTTCATGACTTGGAGTAACTTTCCTAAATGGGTTTTTCGACACGTTCGCCCCCGTCTCCGCTTTTCAGCTGATTTTTCCATCGGCTTTCTCTCCGACGACAAAGAGATATTTGTGAAGTTCGATAGGTAAAGAGTTAACCAACTATTACAATCTCTTTGGTTAGGAACCGTCGTCGGCGTTAAGTAATTTTCAGAAGTTACGTAACCCTGTTTGAGCTTTGCTTGTTAGCGTTATTCAGCTTTCTCTACGGACCTGTGCACAAACGATACCACGATTTAATCCGGTTTCGATGCCGGTCCACATCACCAAAAAACCGTGAAACTTTAATCATCCGACCTTTTATCGGAAAAATGAAGTACAGTGGCAGGACTATACAAAAGACTGGACACTGCAATGCTTTTTCATCAGGATCGCAGATTACGTCAATCGAAACGGTTCCCTTGCGATAAGGTCCTAACTAACTTGCACGATATTTATTTTATCGACGCATTTAACTTGTATCATCATCATATTTCGAGCAACGTCTTACGATGAAAACCGCCACATTTATATAATAATATTGTAGCAATTGTTTCGACATTTTTTCATTTGTGAAGTTTTCCGCTATTAAACCTGTTAAAAAAAAATAATATTTTTGATCATTTGCAATTTTAGTATTTAAAACGAAATTTATAAATGTATTTTTTTCACATTTGTCTCAACCACTATTGCCTCCTCTCTTGAGCGTTGATCTTAAGAATAATGCTGTGCCGGGATATTCGCATGGTTAAGCTGGAGCGGTCCTTCCAACTATCTTATACTCAAATCATATCTAGATATGTTTCCAGTATAACATTCCAGGATTGAAGGGCCATGACAATCCCCATCTTCCCAGTTATGGCTGGTGTCCACCAAGGAATTAGTCTAGGATCTATCCTCTTCTCCATTTACACCCATGATATCCCTGCAACATCCAACCTAGTAGTCAACTTCGCCAATGAAACTGCAATCCTTTCCCTGCTCCTGCCAAATGAAAGGAAGGTCAATATCTAAATTTGTTTATCCCTCTTTACATGAACATCTCCTTTGTATCCTACAAAAATATTTAGGTTACCTTGGACCTATGTCTGGACTAGGAAAGTGACCTGGAAGCTTTCAGACTAAAAAGAATTTAACTAAACCGACGTTACCCTAAATTTCAGGGCATAGAATTAAAGTTAGTGGATTCCATCAAATTCCTTGGAATGACACTTGACAGGAAACTTGATTGGAAAGGTCATATTAATAACATATACAGGAAAGGCACTATATCAATGGTACAATGTAGGAGAATTGTCGGTAAAACATGGGGCATCAATCCATTCCAATCAACAGTAATGCCCCTTAAAAACTAACTGGCGCCTACTTCCCAATTATCCTATCAGAAGACAAAAAGGTAGGGGCCACGCGACTTCTTGTTGTTGTGCAAATAGTTCAAAATCAGCGAAAATATTAGAGCAGCATTAGTTGATGTTTCCCTCATGTAACAACCCATGTGCTGTAATAACAGACTTTGTTATAATTATATAACAATGTTAAACAAAAAGCGATACGGAAAATAATATTTCTGGATCAGTTGGAATTTCGGTATTTCAAACGGAATTTATCTTCGTTTTTTTTATTGTACAGCTGTGTCAGGAAATACGCTCCGCAGGGCACGACATGCATGAGACGTGTCAGCAGTTTGGATGGAATTGATGCCCTCAGTCTAATAAGCAGGACATTTCCCAGAAATCATTTATCTGCACATTAAACAGGCTGCCACATGGCCGGTTTATCGAAGAACATCAACTTTGAAATTGATTTTTTCGAAGGATCTATGTACGGACAGATAAATGTATATTGACGACAGTAGAACGCATCAGGAAATTTTTTCATCGGGTCATTTGGTCATTTCTGATCAATTTGATCTGCATATTTTAGCTTTTTTGTAACAGGTAACCAAAATGATCGGATACGACCAAATTGTAGTTTAACACACGTTGCGGTCAATGATGTGTGAAGCTCTGGTTTAATGTTGAGTTGTAATACAGATGATTGTCTTATGCAATGCATAATGTGCACGGTAAAAATTGCAGTGAACATACTTATTTCACTCGACAAGAAAATCTTACGGAAGTTGAAAGTTTTAGAAAAACCAGAGTCGTTATAAAAAAGAGTAATTTCGTCACTTCACACCGTACTTCTTAAGCGAATCCAATATTCTTGCTCCGTTTTACGTTGACTTTTCATTTTATGGTGATTTCTCATGAAAATCATCTCAACATGTACACGTCTTTTTTATAATTATGTTAATAAATTCAAAAACACTAAAAGATCACTTAAAATCATACATGCCCTAAAAATTAGACATGTGTTTGTATTTTTCCAGGCTTTTTCCATGTCGATAAACTGAGCCGAAAGATCTCCATGCTAGTTAGAGCGCAGCAAATTTAACTGCCGTCGATTTATCCTCGTTTGCTAATTGTGTATTTCAGTCTTTTCGTTCTGAAGAACCCGCGAATACGTGAAAATATAAAGTCGATAAATGATTGTTATAGTTTTTATTCACATTTATTTTATCCGATCATATGATTAATGACCTCGAAATAGCATTAACTCTGAGACCCTTGGACATGTTGACAAAAAAAGGAGCCAATATGAATTCTCAAGGCCCGAACCTTATTGTGGCCTAGCACCTTGTCACAAAAAAGGATACATCCAAAACTAAAAAATCTGATGGACCAATACCCCAGGCAAGATGCCCAGAAAAAGATTCATAGTAAGGCCATCCGCAAGACTTACAAAGGAATTACTGGAAGATAGCAGCAACAGAAGCAGGATCGAGGTTGGACTCCTAGCAGGGCACTGCAGCCTAAGAAGGCACATGCACCGGAAGGAGTACAGAAAAAAATCACTGATACTGCCAGGAAGAATCGGAACTGCAGAACACATACTATGTTTTCGTGTTTGTACGAGAGGAAAAACAGCAAACAAGATCATCCCCTAAGGAGCCATGGCCTATGGAGGTTGACTAACAATCTGAATCTGGCGAGTGTGTTATAAAAATAAAGGACCACAATATGTCTACTCAGGTCCAGGTTGAGAAGGCGTTGTGGCCGCCTCTTTTATCCCTATCCCTATCCTGAAACCCTTATGATAAATTATAAGTACGCGACAATTCGTATACTTACTTCGTTTTTTACTTTTTTTTAATAATTAAATTCCCACAAGTTCTCAGTGTCAGTAATTTCAGTGTACAAATCTTATTGAATCCATTTTTCAATGCACAATATCAAAATTTGAAGTGATGATTTACTAAGGATTGACTGAAACACTTATTGAGAAGTGTGTATGTCACGTATAATTGATTAAAATTAAGAAATTTATTGATTGATATTTCTGATTGCAGGTTCCTGCCGTTAAGCGCTTTCGAATAAATTAATTCGACGACTGCCAGCATTCAGGTGAGTTTATATTAGAGTAGATACTAGGTGTTGGTCTGCATCTGCATGTCGGTGAACTCATGCTGAACCGTTCACCTATTCCGTCTTCAGTCGTGGGTTTGTTGAACTGTTGAACGCGTTTCGGGCATTGCGCCATCTTCAGTGAGGAAGTTCCGCGTTTAAGTGCTTGTTCAGCATGAGCTTATATTATTTTAAAGTATTAGATGTATCGACCACTTTTTACTTGAAACATTATTAGAAGAAAAAACAAATTCAATTATCTGCCAAGCTTTCGACCTATTTTAAGGTCCTCATTGCCTTTCAGTCCTTGGCAGTGTTGGGACTGAGTCTGTGTTCAAAGAAATTTAAAACCAGTTATTATAAACTTAATCATTTCAATTTTAAGATGTCTTTAAGATTGTTGTGCCCTGATGATGACCTGGTCGAAGGTCGAAAGCTTGGCAGATAATTGAATTTGTTGTTTATTCTACTTGACCATAACGAGATTCAGATTCTTTGACACACATAAAAATATTGCAAACAGAAAATTTTGCCATTTATTATGGAAAACTTGAGTGCAATCAGGGCATGTATTAATTTGAAAACAAATTACTAACTTAGTAAAGTTTAAAGATCAAACTTCAATTTTATCGTCATTATATCATTTTCACGTCGTTGTCATCAGCCTGTGCGAAAAATAGAAAATAGAAAAAGTGAAATTGTAATCATCGATTGTTGAATTGGGTCAGTGATGCAATATTGCATTAAGAAAGCTTTCCTGGGATTTTTATCCCGGATTTTCAGGACATATCTATTGCAGAATGATTTTTTTTCCACATTGGTTTGGGTTTCAGCATTAAAACCACACCCTGAAACATTAAACATAAAACATTTCAGTAAAATGGACAATATACTTAGTAAAAGTAAAAATACAACATATGTTTTATAAATGTTTCCAGAATTTTTTAACATAAAAAACTATGTATTGTAATGTACATGAAACAGCATAACTTTAATGTATTGGGGGTTGGTCTGTGAATCAAAACATGTGTTGAAATTGATGGACAGTGTTCGTTTTACTGCGTGGTTTACAGTGCGTTTCGGTTTCACTCCATCGACTTTTTATGTGAAAAGTGAACATTGTATATTTTATTAATTTATTCAGCATAAAAAGCCAACGAATAGAAGAATGATTAATTAAAAGTCATTCTGAAATGCTTGTGAAACGGCCTTTTCGACTGGGACGAGCTTGCGAAATGGAAATTCACATGAAGGAAGCTTCTGAGCCTTTATTACAAAATATATTGTCATTGTCTCATTACATTAGCTATTTTTAGAAGGCGGCTCAATGACGTTTTGAAAGATTCGGGTTCTGACAAATTTTTGAATGGGGGCGACGGTCGTTTTCATATTTCTGGCTCAGTGTTGCGAGGAGGAAAGAAGGATTTAGGAGAGTTGGAAACGGATAAATTTGCAGCAATGAAACTGCTCTCAACCTTTATCTTTAAAGCGGAAAGACGTCTGTATGAAAAGGAGAAAGTAAATTAACAGCAAATTGTAAAATTGTAGAAATTTCCAATGATAGTAATTCCTTTTATGTATATCCTCACGGCGTCTATAGGATGTTGTCTCTGTAATTTGTAGGTTTACGACATTTCTTTCTGCTGTCTGCCTGTCGTTTTCGGCGTGGCATTAGGATAATAAGCAGGGGGAGGCTCACAAACCCAACTCTGAACATGCTGAAAAGTAAAAACGTGTATGACACCAAAATGATTATAGGCGGACCAAAAACGATCGGAAACGACTATTAGTTTCCGATGAAATTGATTCGAGTTAGCAAACGTAATGACAAAATGTTACCTTGTTACCGTCGCGAACAGATTTCATAAATTATAAACCATTTACCTCACGAAAAACGTGAAAATACAGTTAGTGAAAAGTATAAAATAATTTCCCAAATTCTTTCTACTTCGTTCTTTTTTTTATTAAATGTTTGTGCAAGCTAGCCCACCGCGGATATTATTAAATGAGAAATCTCCTTTATCAACGTTATCATCCCGGAACACTGCAGATATCATCATGACATCTTTTTCTGAATAATACCTCCGTCTGCAAGGTAGAGTTACGTATACTCTGAACATTTACCGCGATTGGAAAGTTGATAAATGTCGCAATTACATTTTTACAGCCTAGCTTGTATAAAAATGCTACTAAGCAAAACTTACAACTTAAAACTTTCTTAAATGTATGAGTCATTGATGGGATTTCGATAGTAGAATTGTTAATCGCCCATCAGGTAGTAAAAATAATTGTAATTTTCAGATGTATCCATTTCCTCGAGAAAGTTATTGAGAATGCGGAATTCGACGTACACAGCACCCTTCAAGAGCTATTTTACCCAAACCGTCTGTACCTAAATTTCAAGGGTATTATTTTCTCCAAAATTGCGCTGGTTCAAAAACTCCGCAGGAGAAAATTCGCTTTACACTCTGCTTGTAGATGTGCTGTGGTTTCTTCTGATTCTTTGCAGTCTATTAAAGAGTTCATTAGTCTGCCTTATCCTGTCAAGGTTAACCAAATAATAAATGCTGAGTTTCTTCTCGATTGTGATGCATTCTGTGATGCGCCTTCCTTCTGCAAGGTGACTTGAATTCTGTCGCCTTGGGGGGGGGGGCATCGCCTTAGTGGCATCAATGGGATGCACTAGGCGTAGTCTTCATAATCTCGCATGCTGTACGCTTCCTGCTTTCGTTAGGGATTGGATTAGAGATGTTACAGGGATGTTTAGTTTCGTTACGGATGTTACAAAAATGTCAATAATGGTGTATTTTCCTTTCTGAAGGGTTCGGATCTCGTGACTCCAAGACATCCCCTTGTTCGTTTCCCTCAATTATCGTCCTGGGATCCAGTGGAGGGATTCGCTTTTCTACATCTCCCAAGATGTTTAATTTTGGCTTTCAGCTGGTAAGACTGCAGACTTCTTATAGTGCATTAAATTAGAGGGCAATAAAGTTGTGAGCGATCAATGTTCAGCTGTGCCACTTCCGAGGGATCGTCCTCACCCGACTGAAGATTGGCCGTACGCGATTGACACATGGGCACCTGCTTTTGGGCCAAAGCCCGCGCAGGTTCCCCTTATGCAGAGAAAGGTTGCTCGATGTGTCCCACATAATAGAGGCGTGTCATACCTTGGCTCCATACAGAGAGCGTGTAGGCATGCCGCCGGACTTAAGAAGAGTTCTCGAACACGGTAGCGAGTTTCAGAGTCCCCTGTTCCGCTTTTTAGGGGAAATTGAGTTTTTTTTATTGTATATAGTAGTCTTACGTGTTGTTTTATCTGAGTGCATGTATTTATTAGCGTGAATGGCGAGGGGTGAGGGTGAAATATAACGTCGTCATCACCCCTCGAAGGATGAGAGCGTAAGCCAAGCGTCGATGGCGGAATATTTATAAAAGTACTCCATCGACCCCAATCTAGATTAGTTTAAGTATAGGGTCGGTGGAGGAATATCAAGTACTCCACCGACCAAACGGAATGAGTGTACTGTATGGATGTATTTATGTGTATGAATGTATTTCTTTGTATGAATGTAGTGTTTGAAAGTGTAAATAGAATATAGACATAGTTGGGGGCTGAAATGACCTAGATGTCGGAAGCCCCAATCAAAAAAATAAATAAATAAATAAATAAAAATAAAGTTGTTTAGCGCCTAACTGCAGGGAATAGCTACACTTCCACCAAAAGCAATGGTGAACAATATAAAGTGGTTGCTTGTGGAAGGGTACTACTCAGTAGAGGAATTTTTTACTGTAGATAGCTAATCATGTGAATAACTAAATATAACTTTTGACTAGAGATGTTGTACGTATAACCTACTGTTATAACTCATTTATATCATGTAACCATTCCCTAATACTGAAATGCCTCTATAATAAAAATGTTGATGTTAATTGGAACGGTCGGTCAACTAAACTGAACGAGTTAATTATTTCGGTGAGGAAATGAAAACCACCCGTATTTTAATTAATACTCCAGCCTCTCAAAGTGGGATTTGTGATCTTTATAATGATTATTCGGAAATCGTGAGATGCGGTCTGGTTGACGTAGGTTTCAGAAAAACATGTTCTTTATCGTGCCAACGTTTCGATCTTTATTGAGATCATCTTCAGGGCTCAAAGGGTTTGTTTTCTGCGTAATTGTGCCATTCTTGCGTGTCGTGTTGAATGATCTTTATAATTTTCGCCGCAGAGGCGGACGTTTTAAATAACGACCGATACATTTGACATTCCGCCAGGCTCGTCGTGTTTTCTTTGCAAAGTGGACTTTTCAGTCACGTCGATTCTGGGCTTCGAGGTATCGACACCATGAGCGGTAATTATAGATGGGCCCAAAACCGGGTATGTTTGCATGGGGTTAATCGCTTTTTTTTGAGGAATCTGACGATTCTCTCAAATGCTTCAACTTCCGCATGAACAATACCGTGTTTGGGTAGTTTGTTTTAGGACCGAGTACTCCCTGTGATTTCTCTATCCGAAGAGAACGTTGCCATGGCATACATGCGAGATCCTTTATTTTATGGATTTCGTGTGGTTTGGCGGTTTGGTCGGTTTTGTTTCTCCATTCTGTTGATTGCGCTGTTACGCCATAGGTGCTCTGCAAGCCGTTAAAGCACAATTATCAATTGTAGATCTTTAAATTATTACCTATTTCAAAGCAAAATATATAAATTTAACTTTTGTGGTTGTACTATTCGGTCTAATGTCCTAACCTTTCGTCTCAATTCACTACTGCAATCGTTGCTTTTCTTTAGACTCGTTGTCAGACCCAGCATTAATAATGTAACACTATTGCTTAATGTTCAAAGAAAGGTGAAGCCATTTAGTAAACACTTAATTATATCAATTTTGTTGTTTTGCCCTGATAATGATCCTAAAATAGATCGAAAGCTTGGCAAGTAACAAGTGATTTGTTCTTCATCCGAACCAAATCATACCAAGATTCAGATTATTCGTGAGTCAAA